AACTTACACAAAATGTAAGATTTACAACAGGCCGAAACAAATTCATACCCTATTGTCTGAGAGATTAGATTCCCCTGGTGTATGTATGATGCGGCAACAGTTTCTAAAAGCTTCATTTCAGTTCTCAGACAACAATAAACTCATCATAGCTAAATGTTCTCTCCACATGTTTTGTCCTAACTTCTCCCTTTCCTTCATCAGTGCTGTATGAGAAATATATGTAACCATGGGAACAGTCTACAATACTGTCGGCATGCATACACAATTGGCAGCTATATGCATACATGCACGCTCACGCAGACGCACACACAGACACACAGACACACACACTTCACTCTTGTTATTAACTCAAGGACAAGGATAATTTTACGCATTCATTATTATGCGGTGCCCCGATGGATGTTGCAAATGTTGGGATCCGTACAGACATGCAAACAGTGCCTCTCAAAGAAACTGTTACCCCTTAACGTTTTGCACATTTTGTCATGTTTACAACCATAGACATAACGATTTATGTTGATTTGAAGTAACAGACAACTGTGAAGTGAAAGCAAAATGATACATGATTTTGTGGAAATAGAAAAGTGAAAAGTAGGGTTTGCACAAGTATTCATACAGCATTTTCTGTATTCATTTGTTTTAATACAAAAACAAACAAAAAATCCTAATGACTGCTGAATGTTACCACCTTGCTCTAACAATTAAAAGGTGTCTACCTTTCCATAAAACTACTCTTTGTAGAATTACAGCTGTTGGCTATGATTGGAGTATTGGTCATTAATAGCAGCATGAAGGCCAAACATCTCACAAAGCACTGCTGGAAATAGTATGTTTCAACTGCAAAGGTACCAAGATTTGGCTGTCTGCCCAAATTCACAACTCCAAAAAGGACAGCACTGATCACAGATATAGACACAAGGCTCATGGTTACTCTGGAGGATCTGCAGTCATCCACAACTCAACTGGGGGAATCTGTACATGGGGCAAATATTAATCATTCACTACACAAATCTGGACTTTATGGACGAGTAGTAAAAAACAGCGTTGAAAGAAAGACACATTCATCATGTTAGGTATAGGTATAGTTGCTCATCTGCCTGTGCACATCCCCAGTGTCAAACATGGGGGTGGCAGCATCATGTTATGGGGCTACTTTTCTTCAGCAGGGACAGGGAAGTGTGTCAGAGTTGATGGGAAGGTGGATGGAGCAAAATACAGGACATTATTGGAGGAAAAGCTTCTGGAGCTAGTGATCCCACATATTATTAACCAGTGTTGTAGGATTACAATGTAGAGATAAACAAATTATGTGCCATTTTATTTTCCCTTCACTGTTATCAGATACTTTGTTGTGGTCTTTCTGTAAACTATCAAAAATAAAATGTAGCATGACAAAATGTGCAGAAGTGAAAGCTGTATGAATACATTTGCAAGGCACTGTACTGTATATAGGAGACAGGTCCAAGAGCAGATAATAAGCACTTTGCATCCGGTGATTATTATGGAAGCTAAGCATTGCCGGGGCGCACGGTGAACAGGAGCATAGCATGGATGGAAACATATAGCCTGCTGGATTCTGCAGGGTCTAACTTTGATGCTCACATAATTACAGAAGATAAAGTATTCATTATGTAGGCAAAGGCACTGTGGTCTTATCTGTGTGTGACGCTGTGCTTTCAATGCGTAAAATATGGAGTTCTTAACTTTTAAACTACACAAAATAGAACTAACATACAGTAGATAACAATATCAGATTAATTTTATTTGCCGTTTGCAGTAAAACCACATTGCAATATATTTGTAAAAGTCCCCAGTGTGCACCAGACAAGTACATAAATAAAAACTTGAAAAAACAAAGAAGAAAAAAAGTGCAGGAAACAATTGACATCATTGAATAACAGCTTTTGGGAAAGAACAGTTAGAAACCCCACCACTATTTTGGAAATAATATTTTTGGACAAGATTTTACATTTACCTCCAAACACATCGGGAACAATACCTGCCTGTATTTTGCAATGTATTCTGTCACATGATCCAATCTCACCTGCTTAATACAAATATATGCATGTTCAAATTCATGTTAGGATAAAAACTATTTGTGTTTGTACAAGTTATTTAAAAGATACCAAAATCTATATTTACATGCAAGTATTGTTCTACACTATAAAGATATAATTACATGCAATTTTAAATCAAAAACAGCAAGATCCAATACCACCAGGTACTGGTTTGATTTGTGTCTGACACCACTAAAAGAAGATCTGAATTCAGCTTCTTATTCTGAAAACTCAGGGCTGTAATTACTACTTTGATACATTGACAACATGTGTAACTGATTAGCTGTGCAATTATTCTTTTGATAATCACCCAACTAATCATAGTCAACGAAAGGAGACATTTGACCAAGACAAAGCGAAAGCGATGCTGCTCGAGATAACATTTTCATAGAGATGAGTTATTACAAAATGGGTTCATTCAAACCTAATTAAAAATGTATTTTTTTCCCCCGCACATCTCCATTTCACGTTGCAGCGATTACAGCTCCTTTTGAGTGACAGTCAAATATCAACATAAATATCATTATAAATCATACAACTGTTTTTAATTGTGATGAATAGATTGACAGCTGAGACTAAATCATTTTTACATCTGTATTTAGTGACTGCGCCAACACTGTCTGTAGATAACATTAGTGACTTTGAGATGAAGAAATATTCATATTCAACACCTCCGAAGGCAAAGAGGGACGTGTTTGCTGTTGCATTGTTGAAACCGGACAGTGCGACGAGACCATGACTAATCCACACTGTCATCTGTGCCTGTCTGGCTTATCATTTATATCACCTAAAATGCGTTCATTTCACTGGGAACATCAAGTCATTTGTTAGAAAAGCACATATTCCTGGTAATTTTTTTGCAAAGGCTGAATGAGATGTCTGCAGTCTTTTTACGGACTCACAATGAAGACCCTTGATTAATGGAGTACAGTGAAGTAGATTTATTGCAGGGGACCGCCTAATAATGTGGCTCATTTCAAATGTTTCAATCAAATGAATTACATATATGATAGTGGTATTTGATGAATTGAGGGCAACAGCTACTGCGGTTTTGGGTGAAAAAAGTAACCGTGACCCTAACCAAGGCTGCCTATTTGGGTGGTAATTCCTGATGCCGTGATTGACAATAAGGATAATGGTACAAACCTAATAAAAAGCACCTTCATAAAAAGCCAATGATATATGATGTTGAAAAGATACAGTATTATAAGTGCTATTTGAAAGTTGTTGAAAGGTTGTGGGAAAGGTTGTCGTGTCGTTTTGACCCATGTTGAAGTTTCCCCACAGGGCAGACAGGAACATGTCAAAATTAAAAAGGTCAAAATAAACTTCAGACTTTCCAAACCAGTCTTCTAAAGTCGAAGCACCCAGGACACCTTGGGGAACACATTATAATGGAAGGCCGTAAGCTTATCATCCACACAGAGAAAGAAGATATTTTCAAACATGTTATTGCAAGGAAAAATTTATAAAGGAAAGAACAGCACAAGTTTAGATAGTAATAGCTTCAATATGCAAAGTAATGTCCCTCGTGTGTATAGTTTAATAACCTTCTGGCTTGTCCTCTCAAACCCACCTGCCAGGGTCGCTCAGCGTGTAAGGAAGAGGCAACCCAGGGTTTTAGCTCAGGGGGAATGACACTATCGTTACATGCATTTCTCATTTCTTTAACCGAAGACCAAATGGTACTGTAGAAATTCATTCAACAAATTTTACAGGAAAACCCACCTAACCAACAGCTAATGGCCCCGGCTCCATATGAATACCACTAATTAGCACTCAGATTGACAAACAACAGAAAATAGCCGTCTGAGTGCTTTGTGGAGGCGAATGCCATGATTGCCATACAATTAAAATACAGCTTTTTCTAAACTGAAAAAGAGCATAAAAGAGACCAATTAACTCCCCCACCTTCACAGAAAATCAGATAGAGGCCACCTAAGGCCTTCGTAAGGAATAATCTCTCCCCATGTTCAGCCCATAATTGATTTTGAATCTTTTAAAAACTAAAATTAAAAGTAGAGTAATCACTTCTTCACTGATATTTCTGTGAAGTTCTGTTTCTCAGCACTTCGATTCTTATTTTAAAAAATGTCAATGTTCTGTAGAAACACACAAAAGGCAAATGCATGATGAAGGCTTTTAACATCACACAAAGACAATCCATTTCAGCAGTCCTATAATAACACAGCGGGGGACATTATTAAAAACTGACAGGACTTCTCTGTCGGCTGCTGTGTTCCCGCTTTAATTTCACTATAGATGAAGAGATATTGATTTAAAGTTGAATTAAAAGTGTTAAATCAGTGGAACTGCAAACAAACTGTATTGTCTGGCATTCGAGGCTAATCAAGGGCATCTCAAAAAAAGTGTATTATTGTCAAAATGTTCAAAAAGTAATCTCATAAACTTAAATGTTATTCATTGATTGCATAGAATGAATTATTCTGAGCCTTTCTATAAAACAAGTTTCTGAAATGACTGACATAATGATCTGACACAAAGTTTTCATCTCCTCCCTGTCCCCTCCTTCTGCTCTGTGCTCTGCAATTACAAATTAATAACCATTTTCAAAGTTTTAAACAAGAAAATATATATTTTATTGAACCAAGTTTTATCCACCAGGCAGGAAGGAAGCAGAACTCCCTCCTCTGCCCTCCCTGTGCTCCCACCCCACTCCCTGCTGCCTCTCCATAGTCAAGAGGGAGAGAAACGATATTTCAGTTCATGAAAGGAGGAATTGACAAATACATTCTTTGAATCTTAAAGATTAGTATTATCAGACCAGAGTATGAAGTGGTGTCCATGGTTACATTCTCACTCAAGTATAAGTACAACTTTTATACTGTGAGTGAAAAAGTGTAATAGCAAATCCCAAAAACATGTTTAAGTCAGTACATAACAAAGTTTAAAGTCTGTATTTAAGATGTGACAAGTTTTTGTTCAGTAAATAAAGGGAAATATCCTGTAGGGGACTTGTTTACAGTAAGAGTCCCAGGACGCTCCATATTTGAGTTTGCATTGTGTCTCATCTCGTGCTTCTCTGTGGATCAACAGGATGGTGAAATATATGACGTAGAAGTACGGCAGAAGATTTGAAAACCCTGGAAAACAAACAAAATACTTGTAAATGCTTGGAGAATGGAATTGCACAGACTGTATGTTGTCATGACTTCCTCTGAACCAAGGATCACTGTAACTGGCTAAATCTGCCTCGGTCTGGTTTCTTTATTTGTGGATGTAAAACCACCAAACACATGTCCACCGGTCACTGGTCAGTTTAAATCTTTTGAAACCAGATGTATGAACTCGACGTGCTCCAGTTAAAGTGAACAAGACTAACAAGTGTGAATGTGCCCTAAATGCACTGAAGTAAATAGTTATAATTTTCAGTTTTCATTGATTACAAAAGCTTCTGGAAACGTGAGTCACATTCTCTGGAATATCAATGAGCTGCAAGCGTCGGTGTAAACAAAGATTTGACAGGCTCCATTTGAGGAATATAGTTGTTTTTGGAGAACATAAGGCAGCTTACATCCGAACAAAGTCAGCTGATTGTCACAGCACTAATTGCGGCGGCATCAATCGCTAACACCATACAATTATGCTATAAGTACAGGAAGCACAAAGGGCCATGCTGGCCAACAGACTCTGTTATGCAATTACTAACTATATGGAACAAAATGTATCTGTGGGAACCCGACCAGGTTGGATTATATATATGCACTGTTGTATGTGGAAGTAATCTCAAAAGTGCATGTTCATATTGCCTCACCACATGGCAGGGACCAGGCCAGGGCCATGAGGAGGTCTCCCAGATAATTGGGATGACGAACAAAACCCCACCATCCAGACACTAGTAACTTCTTCCCTGACGCTGTTGGAATAGTTTTCAGCTCTGGCAATGAGAGAAAGGTTAATTATAAAAGCTTTTGATGCAATCCTTTGTAATACTCAAATCCATTTTACATACTTGCAACATTTGGGTGGTTTGGATTTCTTCTGAACTGATTTTTCTGTGAATTTGAACTTCTAAAAATATAATAACCAATTCCTGTAGATGATAAGACAGAAAGAGATAATAAGACAATTAGGGCTGTCAACATTATTGCGTTAACGCACGTTAATTACATTTTTCATTCATCACGTAAAAAGAAAAAAGAAAACCGCATTGACGCATATCCGAATGACCCGCTCCCATGTATCCCATAATATCACTCAGAATGCCGTGGACAGATGGCAACAGAGTAGGCCCTCTGGGAATTCAAGTTTTAAAAGAATACGTGCGTGACCGTGCTGTTGTTTGCTGAATGAACTGAAGTCCGCATCCTCCGTGGCCGCAAACAACAACACGGCAAATGGTAACGTGGTCATATCCAAGACCATACACGCACAGAACTATTCTCTGCATGTTGTGTGCGTGTCTTTGCGTAACCTCTACGTAACTGTGCAGCAATAAATACACAGCTGAAGTTGAACTCAGGAAGTGTCCGTGTCTCCTCCTGTCTTCTCCTGAAACGCAACTAAATTCGTTAAATTAAAGCTGGGTACGTACATTTTCCCTTTCATTAACAGCTCATGTTGGTTGTGCCCAAAAGTAAAAGGTTGTGAGCAAATCAAACAGATTCAAGTACATTTGGTCTGAATGACATGTGTCATTACATTTGATAATCTCATTTAACTTCAATTGGAGTGGATTTGAAATAAAATGTTAAGAATGCAATTAATCGTGAGTTAACTCAACATTACTATGCGATTAATCAACTAAAACATTTTAATTGTTTGACAGCCCTAAAGACAATACATTACAAACAAATGTTGCAAAGCAGGATAACAAAGAGAATACTTAAACTTACCATTGAGTGCTACTATCACAGCGGCTCCAAACAAACTGAGGGACTGTGGATGGACAACTAGAAATGCGGCTTGTAAGCTGTAGGTGAAAGGAACCCACACCAGGTCTCCAAACACCAACATGAAGCCAAAGCCATCGTGAACAATGTCCATAGTCGACAGCACGGCCTCCTGGTAATTACACATTGTTAGTGATTGATAACTATAAACTCAATGTGACAGGACAAAGGGGCTGTAATTAGAACGTACTTCATTCCACAAAGCATCTCCGACGTACAGCAGCTGGAAACCATTGACAAGGATCATGGCGAGGGACGGGGAACCTTGAAGCTCCACCTCTTTCATGAGCAAACCCAAATTAATCACCACCTGAAAAAGATAAAACAACCACGATGTATTCATTTTTTCATCCTGTTCTTTTTTTTCATGGAATGTATTACTGTTGTACTTGCTGGATTGTTGTGGCATTTTGTTGCATTACCATGACAAAAATTGAGCAAATAAAAGAAACATGTTTAATTCCTTGATTCAATGCCTTTTTATACTGGTCCTGCAAAAATACATGGCCTACGAGTGGCACAACCCCAAAGTTCAATCAATATGCAAATCACAGCACAGGGCAAGCGAGATGATTGGGTGAGGTAATCCCTGAAGTGAAAACTGAAATGGGGAGATTATATTGAATGAGTTCTATGGATTACAAAAATGCTTTCCTATTCTTGGAGTGGAAGCCGCAATAGCATCAAAACAGCACACCAAACTGCATGCACATAAAACAGAATTGCTTTTATTTAAATTCCCCTGTTCTGATTGTTTAGACAGGCCTAATCACTTACGCCATAACTGTAAAATCCTCTGTTCATGCTGCTTACTTTGTATTTGAACTGTAATATTAACTTGTATTTTAGCTTTTTTTTCCTCATGGCGACCTTGAGTGTCAAGAAAGGTTCCTAAGAAATAAAATGTATTATTATTATTATTATTTACCTGCTATATTATATTATTATATTAATCTAAGAGACAGTTTGATCACAGAGCAGTCACACTCCTGAACTCTCAACCAATTTAAGCCCATTAAATGCACTTTAATCAATGTAATATAATTAATTTACCTTCTAGCAATAGCAGCTTGTACAGTCTCTCATATTTATCTGTGTTGTAAATATTATCCTATACTTGCGCTATTGCACTACTGGTTAGACGCTAAACTGCATTTCGTTGCATTGTTCTGACTTTGTAATGACAATAAAGTTGAATCTAATCTAATCTAATCTGATAATTCACTCGTCACTCACCTCCTGCTTTTATTACTATTATATATATTCCGGGCATACTTTCTACTGCTAAAGTATAGGATAAGAATCTGCTAAAGTATAGGATAAGAATCTGTTAATACCTCCTGCTGACAACAGTGTATACTCCACAGGTGACCAAGTGCCATAATAGCTCCAGAGTTGTAATTTTATGATTTTATATTAGATCCTGTTTGATGTGTGCTTCTTTTCTTTTTCCTCCTTTTATTCTGCTGTAATGTGTGCAACGATGACATTGAAATTTCCCCACTGTGGGACGAATGAAGGATTATCTTATCTTATCTGAATCACTTTTATTCTGCTTTATCCATTGCCGGGTCATGGCGGCAATGGATAATAAAGCGCAATATAGAAAATGGATGGGTGGTTGATTATCGAATTACAACCTCAAATCCACAATGTAGAGACAGCCCGATTTCACACTATTGCGTTTGTCTTTCACAGACTCAGGGAATGTGCTTCATCACATCTATGACTTTGAGGAAAAACACAGGAAATCTCCCACACACTGTCTGTAGCCAGAGCAATAGTCTTTTTCTGTCCTCTCCTACGCACCTGCCTTTAAAACATTCAGATATACAAACCCGCTACTGCTGATGGAAACACACACATACGCACACACGCACGCACACACACAGCATCAAGTGAAAAAAGTATGGCATGTGGCGTTAACATTCCCGTTCATCACCGTAAGTGGCACAACGTCAATCAAGTGAGGATGAAAATGGGTCTGCTTGTTGGGGCCTTCCTGATTTTTCTGATTTGAGCGGATGACTAATACAGGGGGTGATGTGGTTTACTGTGTCAGGTCATTAGGGAAGGGAAGTTTTTTTTTGCCTCAGACTGTGGCAAACTAACAGATCTCAGAAATCAAGGGGAGACTGGAGCAACATTGCCTCCTGGTGGTAAATGTATGGATCTCCAGCAGAGCCCATTATTGAACACAATGTGAGGTTTCAATTATTTAGACCAGCAAGAAACATAGCCCAAGTTCAGTTATATAGGGCAAAGATTGTGTAGTTAAGTAGTTACACAATCCTGAGCAATACCTGCTTAGATACAACGTAGAAGACTTACCCATCCGATAAGACCCGGCCTGAGCTCGCAGAAATATTTTAGGTCAAAATCTTGAATTCGAGGGTTTAGTTCTCGACCAATGAAGAAATCGTATAAGTGGTTTCCTGGAAAATAAGAGGTTGTAGAAGTAGAATTTGCTTACTTCCTTTAAATACAAGTGTTATAACATGATATACCTGTTATATGAATGTATGAAGTGATTTAAAAGGTACACTGTGTAGTTTTTACTCCCATCTAGCGTTGAGATAATATATTGCAATTTACGGTACTACCGTAGCTTCGCAGGATGTCGTCTTTGACAGTGGTCCCCAACTCCCGGTCAAACTCCTTTTGTCCCTTATCAACAACTGTATTTCAAGATAACGAATGTACATGGATAGTCCTCCAGCTCTCATGGACATTTATAAGTCAAATTCTAAGCCTATGACATTCATTCATTCATTCATTTTCTACCCCTTTATTAGTCCATTTCTAGGTCGGGGGGTGGCAATGAGAGCTGCCACCCAATGCTCATAGCCTATGACAACAATTCAAAAACACGGTGTAGGTAAATATTGTTAAAAAGGTCAAGGTTTTTTTTTGGTTAACATGTTTTTTCAGCAACTGTAAAAATTACACTAAGTACCTTTAAAGACCTGGAGATGCAACCACTATCATTAAGAAACTCAGGTCTGTGCTTTTTCATTGTTATCGCTTTGAATCTATTACTCTCGCAAACATTATTCTGTCAGTTTTTGTTATTGTAAAGAAAGTAAAAGTGTATTTAAAATGTATAATGTTATGTTGTAAATGCCGTCCTCACCAGTGTCTTATCCAGTACATTTGGAGAACAGCACTAGTCTGAAATTATAGCCCAAAATTGCTTGTTTAGTTCCCATTATCATAGTAGATTGTGTGAATCATTTAGTTTCCTCTAAATCCCTGACCAAACCAAACCAAAAGACATGACCACTGCAGCTTGTTGCCAGTTACCCGCAAGCAAAGAAACCGGCTCACAAAGACAAACTGCGCGTGGGTGTATATTTGTGGATTGCACTCTTCCTTCAGCCTCCATCTCACCTGTGTTGCCGCCTGGAGCCAACGCGTCGGAGGAGACAGAAAAGGAGCGGGCATAGAGGCAGATGGAGAGTAAGAAGGACAGCACAATGGCACAAACGGCCAAAGGCTGCATCAGCTCAAAGAGGCGACCCAGAGGAGCACCCAGCTTCAGCAGCAGCAGCACCAGCGCCACACTGATGCACATGGCATGGAAACCTGGGAGAGACACACAACACTGGTGTCAGCTGGGGGAGGCAGATAAGGGGCCGCCGTTTGGGCCAAAAGTCCTCAACTGTGCAGCGTGATTAATGATTGATCAGTGGGATAATAACTATACAGTGGAACTATACAGTAAAGCTTGTCACAGTAGTTTATACAGCACATTACCATTGCCTTACCATTTATAGGATATTTGAGGCGCGTCTTGTTTTTCAGCTCTAATCCTTCTGACATCTGAAAATAGAAAGAAATACATCAATGTGTCCTAAAGCAGCAGGAACAGTCTTATTGTTTCTCTGGTAATGTTATTACTTGAATGTCCTCCAGCAAGGCATTAATCTGGTTTGACATTTAATTTACCAGACACTAGCAGGAGTCCCGTCCCTGTGCTCCTCACAGTTGGTTCATATGGGACTTACATGTCACCAATGTACTTTTGTGCAAGGCCATGGAGAGACTTATACAGAAGCAAAGCTGCTTTAAGGTCGTTTCTCTGAACCACAGGAAGCCAGTGCAGAGACCTGAGAACTGGAATGATGTGAGGACTCGAGCAGTTTTACTTGCCTTGCCTAAGTGAGAAAAGATAGATCACTATATATCTGTAAGTGGCTTCTGTCCAGTGACATCTGTAGCATCACCTTGCATTTAATCACAATTGTCTCTTTATGTGAAAGATTTCATAGATTTCCTTTTGTTCCTACACAATATTTCAGTGTGGTTATAAGCCTTTTTCTAGAACTGCAAATGGGTCGATCATACTTTCTGCCTCAGTTAAGCCCTGCCCACACCTGTGATGCACACAAAACTATCAAAAATGCTAATTTCCATCTGCTCTCTCTGGGCAAAACAAAAACTTTTTCAGACACAAACAAATAACATAAAACCATGTAGAGCAAAAGTGTTTTCTTTCATACAAATTGAATGCATAATGTGGATTGCACGATTGTCAAAAGAAGACTCTCATATCAACTCATTTGAAACATACCTTCCCCAGGGGCAGAAGGTATAGGAGAGCGTGCAGGCCAATCCATCCCAGCAGCAGCACAAGGGCCAGAGGGTCCCACAGGTGCTGGACCAAGGGGAAGGGAGGAGGCCACTGGAAGGGACTGGCTGAAGGCGTTCGACTCGCACCAATCAGAAACAACACAGTCAGCGGTAGGAAGACGGGGATACAAACAGCACCTACAAAATCAAAAGTTTACTAAAATGTCATAACAAAAACCAGAGTAGTTCACAAATCCAGTCTGTACAGGAAGTATGATTTGGAAAGTTGTGTCTGGTGTAATTATCTGTTCATCAGAGCTTCTGTTGCACTGTCACGGCTGGAACATTAGTTCACTTGCAACAGATGGACGGATAATTGATACTGATGCTAGTTCAATGAACACAGCAGGAGACAAAGCCTTACAAATAAGCAAGTACAAAACAATAACCACAGATTGGCTCATTTGCATGGATCATGTTTTCCTGATAACAATACTCCTACATATTAATCTAAAAACTAATAATCGTATTAGCTAGTTAGTTTGTGTAGCATTGTAAATGAATACTTTGCTCATTACCAAGAGTTCCTCCAAACTCTCTCTCTGTCGTGTGTTTGGCTGCAGGCTTCATTGTCAAACTTCTGTTTCAAAATGAGATGTGAACCTGTGATGGAATGATAGAAGTTAATTAGTTGACAGAATATTAAAGCTGGGGAAGATACACAATTGAACCCTGTGATTAAATCCATCCAACTAATTTTGTTTTCTGTCACATTTTACTTCAGGTTTTTCAGAGAGAAGTGAAAAAGAGAGGACCAACCTCACTCAGCCAATCAGCTCTCAGCGCAAAGAGTAATTCATTCATACAAGTAGGCAAACAATAACATGTTTTCTAATACGAGGTATTGATTGATGGTATACGAGGTCTGATTTGTTCACAAGTTTTTACTTTTACAAGATCTCTTTCGGTCTGCACGGATTATTTAGGAATAAAAGAAAGTCAGATACCCCAGCTTTAGTTGGCATCTGTTGTCATTACCTTGAGGCTGACGTTCATGTAATAGCATAAAAAGAAGCTTGCTGATGCACAACCATGGAATATTAACATAGAATACATCGACTCGAGATTTGGCACAGTACAAAAGTGCAAAGTACAGACATTGTAAATAGCTTCTTAATATAAACACAACAGAAACCTACATTGTTTTGCGTAGTGTTAAAGATAATAGCCCGGGGAGATATAGGTGTAACCCAGGGGCTGCATGGGGGTTTCTTACCGTGGACAAAGGTGTACTGAAGCGTGTATACAGCAACACTTTCCCGGTTTAGTTATATTACATCCATAGAACAAACTCGGATTGACCCTCCACCTGGTACACGCCCCCGAAGTGGGTCACTCTCATCAGCCAATCACATAGCTCCATTGTCATCAGAAGAGGGCGGGACTAGAGGCGGCGACCAATCAAATGTGGTTGAGCGGTGGCGACAGTAACTTTGACAACTTGTAATGTTGAAGACAGTTTATTGAAGATACTGAATGTACGGTCAGGTACATCACGGCGCAATTATCACAGGAATGATACGTTTCATCTTCAGAGGCAAATGATGGAATAATATATTTTATCTTTAAATATATACTCAACATTTTAATCCTTTGTTAATTATCAACAAAGAGAAATGAAAAGCGAGAAAAACAAACACTCTGCCTTGAGCCGATTATCAGCAGAATCAACCAACCCAGCACGTATGGTGATTGCAATTTAATTCAAAGAGATAGGAGCACAATAAATACATAATTTTAAATTCATTTTCTGTGATTCATGAAAAGTACTTGCATTGGTAAGTAACACACCTTATATGTGAGCAATGCAATATTCTATCAGTGTATTTATTAACCTCTTTCACAAATGACTTCAATAACACTCTGTTCCATGGGTGCAGGGTCGAGGCAGCGGTGTGCAGAGCTCCCCACTATCTCATCCAACAGGAAGTGGACAAGGTTTTCATCTGAAACAAAGCGCCACAGATACATCTGCAGGTAGTGGCAGTCCACCTGGATCTGCTGCAGTCCATAACGACCAAACGTACGCAAGCGCACACACTCCAGGAAGGTTTTCAGGCTGATTTTGATTATTCCCGTTATGACCGACACCTGGGAGAGAGTGAAGGTGCTTAGTGACTGTGATGAATCAGCCCCCATGATTTATTGAGGTGTTATTCTCAGTGCTCACCTTGTTGAACTCCACTGAGCTGAAAATGTCAATCCTTTCAGAAAACAGCTTGTGTATGTTGCTCAACAGATTAGTGTCCATAGGAGCACTGAGGGCAGAGAAAGCTTTTAATCATTTTCATCATGTCACACCAGACGACCAAGATGTTGTAAACATGGGGTTCTGGGACTACGAAGAATACAAAGGCTGCGTTTTCTGGCAGGTGTGCACCTTGGAGTGTAGCTGGCAGCATAGCGGGCTTGCTGCCTGGAGCTGCTGTAAACGGAGAAAGTCCTTTTGCTGGAGTCACTGCTGTGTGCTTTTCTCACTCCCTCTTCGTACAAGTGACCCACCTGGTTCAAATGAAAGAGAAAATACAAACAGGCAATTTTACAGACTGAGAAATGAGCCCAAAATTACCTGAATATCAATAGAAGTAGTGTCTTCCACCACTCTCTTCATCACAGCACGGACATTTCGTGGTTCAATAGTGTTCACCCAGTCTCTGGTCTCTACACTCTTTCTGAGCATCTGAGAAATAATTAACCCCTGAACCTGGAAAACAAAAAACAGGAGTTTAAAAAGATTTGAGTGTGTTTTGTGTGTGTTTTACAATAGACCATATTTTATTATAAAACCAACCTTCACATAATGGTTCAGAAGCTTTTGCGCCGCTTCCCTGGCTTCAGCACATAAAGTAGTGACGGGTGTGACAGGACTGTGGTGCTGTGAAAACACATCACTGAAAGTTACCTTAGGATTGGAAAAAAGATAGAAAGCTGCTCAGAGTAAATTATGAATTTGTCAGTGAGCACGTGGAATATATTTTACAAATACAATGATTCATAGTTACGCCTGACTCGGGGGCACAGTTCCCGCTTCCCTTCCTCCTCTGTTGTGTGCTGCTAATATTTAGTCTATGGCGCTGCTATTTTGCCACAACCCGCCCCCTGTGTGGTGTGTTGGTTTCACGTGTTGTGTGATAGTTCCACACCCATGCTCCAGGATTGGGTATCAGTGTAGCAGTTCGGGCAATCCAACTCTGCAGCGACTCTTTGGCCAGTCAAAAAAAGTGATGTGCGCCTCCTTAGGTTGTCAGTGTTTTGATAGGGTCTAACCGTTGTTATAGATCAATGAGTCTAACCCATGAATTTTTTAGTATTTTGTTCTTATAGACATGGAAAAGTCACATATGTAGTATTTATGATGATTATGACTGATGTATGATTCATTTCAGTACAGTACTTGCCTGCACCAGGAACTGCTCATCCGTGAGTGTGAGTATGTAAGAGATGGTGGATGTCTCATAGTCCAGGCAGAGGCGGGATAGCAGCAGCAGGAGGGCGGGAGGCGTGGAGCCACCCTTGTCTCCAGCACTTTCACAGAACTGACGGGACGACTGGCACACAAACCTGATGAAGCTCACTACCAGGCTTTCGCGGACACCTTTACTGCAGAATTCCCCCTGTGATAAGCAATAAGAATAATCATCAATTGTTTATATATAAAGCATCTAAAACACACATATTTGGCCCGTCACCTTTACCTCTTATAAGTATGCAAAAGATTTGTTCAGAACATTTTACTTTAACTTTCGGTAGGGGCAAACAACTTATTTTATGAAAGTCGGGTGTCTCAGCCTTAATGAAATAATAGAAGAGGGAGAATATATGAACTGACCTTGAAGTACGGTTTATTCGAGAATGCGATGTCTTTGGCTGTGAAAAGATGCACAGATGCCAGCACAGACTTGATCTGATTGAGAATGGAGGACGACAAGGAAGACAGTAGCTCTGGCAAACTGTTCGGGTTGTCCCTACCCGACGCCCCCCCCATAGCTGAAGCTCCTCCCATAGAGAGACGTGGCGTGGCCAGGGCCTGTCTCACATCTGTCAAACTGTCCATGTAGAAGCTCTGCAGTGCGCACAGATACTGCTTCACGCGCTCATTCGCCGCACGGATCACGATCGCAGTGCCATGGTTCGGCACCGATGAACCAGGAAGTAGCTTGGTCACAGCTTGCAGTCTGCGGTGAAAACGGTCCAATGCCCGTACAAGCAGAGAGTTATCCCCCACTCCCCTCTCCTCTTGGATCCTTCGCTCGACCAGGGAGAAGTAGCGGGTCGCAAGATCGTCTACAAACACATGCAGCTTGCCATTTGCCATCTGGGGAATGTTCTTGGTTGCAAGCTCACCAGTTTGAGGATGGTAGATAAATAGTTCTTGGTAGGATGCAATTACTAAGCATAAACTACTGACAAACTCGTTGCAGCCTCGATCAATGAACTCCAAAATGTCTGTCTTGGCAGAGGTGGGGGAGGACAGAGGAGAGACATTTGTGGGTGAACCAGCAGCAGTGATAGAGTCTTTATGAGCAGAAGCATCTTTCACACCAGAAGCAACAGGATTTATCTCGGCCTCCAGACCGAGGAGATCCGACTCCAGTCGAGATTGAGCATGGCAGAGGAATTTATCACAGAGCTCCTCAGCAGGCTCGTCCAGTTGTAGCAGCAACTCCACACACTCTGATAAGTCTTTGGAACTGCTCCCACCATCTCTGGAGAAGAAACCATGCAAGAAAAAAATAATAAGATTATTTACTTCTGGGCATAGTCTATCGAGAAAAATCACACGAGACATGTAAATTGTTGATGCATACAGTCCCAAGTGCAACACAACATGTATGTAAAGTTTAAATTTGAGTTTTTCCCCCTAATGTTATTTTTTTTTATTTTATTAATTTAAAAGATATTTGATATTTCAAAAAGATTTATTTTTGCCACATAAGACAAAAATAACAACATACAACAACAAAGAACCACAATGAAAGCCTTCACTGCAAACATAACATTGATAAGGAGAGACCCACTGACAGTTTCAGGTGAGTCCTAGCCACAGAAGGACAGAACCTATTGCACAAGTTTTTAGTGGTAGGGTAAACCTGAAAAGCCGGAGGAAAGCTACACAGACAACAGGAAGAACATGCAAACTCTTCACAGAAAAAGGCCAAATTAAAAACAGCCATCCCAAAAGATAGAATACTGAAATAACAACCATTAAACTAATCTGGGCACCCAGTGTTTTTAGAGGTCCGAACAAAGAGGATATTTGGTTATCTGCAAAATATTGTGCAGTTTTTGCGATTTATTTAAGAGTGTAGCCACTAACTTTCATTATATAGGTGGTTCTAAACAGCCAATAAATAGAGTGTGGAGACAGTGGAAAGCAGACTTGTGTGACAGTCACCTGAACTTGTGGCGTAGTTCTTGTGCGAGTTTGTCCATGATGACGTGGCAGTCGTCCTGGATGCCTTTGAAGGACGGCAGGTGGCTGTACTGCTGCAGCACACAGCGCGCTCTGCGATGCGAGTTCACAGCCTGAGAATAGGCCTGCAGCTCCAAGCACTTGTTCAGCCTGGCGGGAAGCTCAAAGAGAAACTGCAGCTTTCTTAACAAAGTGTGTACACCTGAAGAAGACATTTGGACATTAATAATCAGACAGGTATTATGTTTGCTTTGTTATTGCTTATTGCCTAACCTGACAATTTGGTAATCTGCATATGCTGGTCCTGAAGCGTGCCACTGATTCGAGCACTAAAGTCAGTAATGGATGCCATGTTAGCAGAAAGGCAGTCCATTTCATCCTCCATTTTCTTAAAGTCATTTTTCATCTTTCTTATTGTGTCTGAAAAATAAACACATTAAATATTTGATAATAATAGCAGAAATCTGGAATTTCAAGGATTGAGCTAAAAGTAGTAGTTTTACCTGTTGCAGAAATGAACTTGTTGTAGTTTTCATACACAAGTGTCTGCATGTCACTGTCCAAAGAGCGGATCTGTTTGACCATGCATGTCTCATGGTCCATTAACTCTGCCAGAGAACACTCCCTTCTCAGCTGAAAGACCAAGAAGAATATTCTAATTTCATAATCACATTTCAGAAAGAAAAAAAAAACATTTACTTGGAAAGACTGCAAATATTATAACTATCACTAATGAACAATTATGTGATAAACATGACTGCACCTTGTTGAGGTACAGCTCTGGGTCGAAGTGAGGCCCATTGATATCACAAGGATCCAAGGACTCAGACTGCTCCACGGCCTTGCCCTCCTCATTCAGCCCGTAGTAAAGCTTCAACATCCCGTGCACTCTGCGCCTCTTCCCATCCTCTGCTCCAGACGGGTCCACTTCGCTGCTCATTTTCTTTTAAATTTGTGGATCGGTTTTAAAATAATATGTATGAATCCGTGAAGGCTAAACTAGACTAGAGACGAGCCAGGACGGCAGCTGGAATGAGTCAGAAGATGGACATATCACTTCAGTTCCACTCTGCACCGGGGCTTCGTCAATCCCCGACACTCCACGCGTTTATATAACAGTATGTTATGAAATATTACTAAGTTAAAGACATGTCAAAACAAAAAACACGATTCAAAACAAACCCTTCCACTGCTCCTGCAACACCACTGCTACTTCCTGGTTTGTAACCTATCCAGCGTCACGCAACGTCACGCATGCGCGATGCATCAAGAGGCTGTTGTCCCTGAGAATGGATATGGGAAAAAGAGACCATTATACATTTGTTTTCGTTTTCACACCGGTTTTCTCTAAATTATCGGTAAACATTCCGGGTACAAACACATGGCTGGACTCTTTGTGAAGCAATTAGCCTGTCGTTTTGGTCTCTGACATATTTACTCTAATTATAAGTGAGAACAATATATGAATAGCTCTCTGTAAAATTACCAACTGTTAAGTTTAACTATTCCTCTTGCACAGTCGAGGCACAAAATGAAAACTAGATCTGAAGTAATTAAACAAAAAAAGTCCAGGGCCAGAGAAAATACATATAAGTAAGTAAGTAATGTTTATTTATATATACCGCCTTTCACAGACCAGTCACAAAGCGGCACAAATGTGTCTCTCACTCCACACAGATGGGAGCGGGGCCAGTACAGGAGGCGCATGCCAGACCTATTGTACATATTTTTAGTGGTTGGGGAAACCGGAGTACCCGGAGAAAACCGACGCAGACACAGGGAGAACATGCAAACTCTCATAACATACTTTTGCACATTTTTGGAATTAAAATGTATATTTGTGATATAGAATAGTATAGTATGTTAAAAGAAAGACACATCTTTTTTTTTTCAGATTTCCAGAAGGCTTGGCTAACCAGAAAACACTAATACAGTTGTCGTCTTTTCTATGTACTCTAAATAAAATAAATGAAAACTGCACAAACCTGAGGATTGCTCAAGCATTTATTGAGAAAAATGTACATAATAAATTGTGACAATGAAATGTAGTTAAAACAGGTAAGAGCTGTGCGTTTTTTCAAGTCCAGCTCCAGACGTGTCAGCGAAAACTGAACATAATATAATAGGCACTTTATGTTGAGGTGGATTAAGCAGGTCTTTAAATTAGTGTACAAAATGTAAAAAAGCAAACATACGTTTTAAAGCGGTTAGAAAATAGGAACACGTGACATGGTAATTAGTGCAGCATTGTGTTATTTGTGGGAATGACTACTCTACAACACATGCACAACATGCTTCAGTTTGATATAAGAGAAAAGATACATTTTAAAATAAAATGATTGTTATTTTTACCTTTGAGGCTTTAAGCTGCACAGTCCACTGCAGGCTGCAGCACAATGAAAGGCTTTGGTGCAATTGTAACAGAATGTTTAACTACATTTATTATGCTCAATAAATTAGTTGTTCTTTTAGTCAAGTTTAGTAAAAATCCAGGTTTACAGTTCATTCAGAGAAAATATTTTGGATATACAAAAGTCTAGGTAGAATTACACTATTCCTTGATTCTCATTTCATAAGAAACAGCTTCTCATTTTCCAATGACTCAAAATACATATACAATGACTAAATATACGGCAGTGAACGTGAATATTTCATGGACGGGGGTGTATTGTCTACTGTTGAAATTTACCACATTCCAATGTACAACATGTTTTTGTCTATTATAATAATACATGAACCTGTTACCTATAACAGACATTCCAAGTTCAGAACGGAAACTGCTCAGGTGAATAAAACATGGCACACAGCGGAGATTGAACAAAAAGGCACTAACAGTATGACAACATAAAGTCGAATATATTTCACCAAAACTAAAATGACCACAGAAACTATCCCTTCATTGGATACCAAAGCCCTAAAAAACCATGAAGTGGTAGCACCCCATTGAGATTTTGAGATATTAGAACCCTTTCCCCAAGAATACTGCATATGTATAAAATGCGTTTGATTTCCTTGTATGTAAGAGATGAGACGAGGCTCGCTTGTTCCCTATATCTACACCCTTTGATTACTTCTGTTGCCTCCTCCAGGCTCTCAAATAATGATCATCTCTCTTAAATATTGGAGGAGTTAGACATGTTAATTTCACATTACGACATTGTTTTTATACACACACAACGTCAGATATAAATATCCCTCACTTGGTCCATTCCACATCAATATATTAACACTTACAAATGATTTCTTGTTCATCAACTTTCAGTGTAAAATGCAAAGGTTTGGTCTTTAAAAGGCAAATGAGAATACTTGTTGAAAAGTTAACCCTGCTCCAGATTGTCTGCCCCTTGAACAGCAGAGTAGGTGGATAAAGTTGCCTGCCGAGTGAAGAAAGAAGCAGCTCTTTTTGGTTTCAAGCGCTTAATTTCCTTTCCTGAAACACAAGCAGAGTTATGTTATTCCACACATAGAGATACATAAGGCGTGGTATTAAAATAGACTATAGATATCTCACCGTTATCCACATAGCTAATCGTGTTAAGTGAGTGGACACGACTGCAGACAACGCTGCTTTGTCTGCGTAGCAAACCCCGCCGCCCTCCTCTGCCGTTTTTGCTGCTCGAATCTTTTCCAGAAGCTTCAGAATGACTCGTCTGTCCGTCTGAGTCAGCTGCTGCTGCTGCTGCTGCCTCAGATACACACTTCAGCTCCACACAGTACTCTATGAAGCCACTCATGAGCTCCGCCTGTGTGCAAACATGCCAGATTACTGCTTTTGATAGATTAGCTGTGGGTGCTTCAATTAACAAGGAGAAATACTTAGTAGATATGTCCAATATAAAAATTAAAATAAACCTTTTACTTTTACTCTGTACATCTATTAAACCAAATTACTTTCTATTCTAAAATGACTAGTTACTTTGCAGGTGGTGGAACGACATACAGACAGGTAGGTTTGATGTGATTAGCCATGCTAAGTTCTACATGGTTTGTTTATCCACATTCTCTGTCCATATGAAGTGTTTCAAAGGTTAAAGGAACAATATGTAAAAATCTGGCCAAAAGTGGTACTGCAGTCACAGTCAATATTTTGTAGTCCTCTCCCACTCTCCCTGAGGTCAGGGAAAGTGGGACAGGACTCACCAAATCCAGCAGCAAACACGGAATTATTTTATCAGTTGTTTGTCTGTCTCCATTCACATTGCCATGAGCCGTGCTAATGTTGAATACATTTTTTTTTATTTGGACATTTGAGATAAAAAACACAAAACAAAATAAAAGCAATGTAATTATAGAATATCCAAAATAAATAAGTAATTTATGTCCAAAATAGGAATGGGAAGAATGGATGTTGGAACGTATTTCTTCAGTGTATCAACATCAGGGTTTGCTCCAGAGGATATCACCTTTCAATTTTATTTATTCCCTATTTTTTAGACAAACATGTATAAGTCCCAATCAAAATCAAAAAGAGACTAACGTTATTTTAATTGGGGTACATGTGGTCTCAAATGATTCTTTTTACAATTAAGCTATAATCTGCAACAAACGTCTTGACCTTCGTCTTTTACCGTTTTTAGAGCAATCTGTCATAGAATGTGATAACATGCAATTAAATACAAAAAGACTCTGCCCGGAATCGAACCCGGGTTACTGCGTCGTTAGCCTGGTTGTACCACACCTTAGTACAAATTTAATTTCATACTAAGGTCTGGATTTGCTCCATTGAGCTCCGTGAACAGGTGGGAGGGGTTAACTCCTTTTGCAGATTGAAACGATTGGATCTGAGTTTACTGTGATGTATGTAATGCACCCGAGTGAGTTGTTAGCATTTAGCAGTTAGCCTAGCCATCTCCTTTGCTGCTAACGGAGCCCGTGGGGAGTAGCTCCACAATCTTGACCAGCGATTACATTTGCTAAACATTACTCTTGCTCCTGCTTCAATTTTTGGATAGAACCAGACCAGATTACTTTACTATCGCATTCTTCGCCATTGCCAAACAACAACCTGCCTGTTCGGCGCAAACTCTTGACGTCACCGGCACCGACCTACAACGCGTTCTCTGAGTAGACGGTCGAAATACGACCGATTGTAATCGCTAACATGGGGACCAGACCCAGACGCTACATGCAGTGAAATGATGATTGAGCGGAGTGTACGGATGGCTATGGCCAGGCTACTGCGTTGTGAGCACGTAGGTTAAACCACTAGGCCACCGATTCACGCGGTAATGACTACTCTGAAGAGAGGACTCAAAGCAGCAAATTTTGCATCACACGTAAACTTATCAGCTGTCTCAATTGTTCAAAGGCGTCCCAATATAAATCCTCGTTTTAGTCTTTGTTTTGTCATTAATGATTTGAGAGTCATAACAAGACCTTTTTTAGTTCTGCGCCACATGTTATTTTACCTCTGAGATTAATGAGCCGCGCGGAGTTCTGGCAACCCGATCACGGACTTACATGACACTTCCTGATTGGTGAAACGGCGGAGGGCAGGACATCAAAATCAAAACAATAACAACTTTTACGGGTCGTAAAACTAATTTTGATATTCAAATATCTCAGCTGAACTACTGTTATCAGTTAAAGATGTATTCGAAAAGAGCATGATTTAATAACGCCTTTTGAAATATGGGGGCCATTTGATGATGACTTGACATGCAAATATTACATACTGCTACTTTAAAGCTTAAAATATTGTCTATCAATTCTTCAACAAAAATGCATTTGACTTTTTACATACAAAATCTCATTACTTGTGTACTTTACCATAAGTATGAGAATTATTTCAATATTTAAGTATCTACTGGGACTTTTGCCACCTCTGATTACCAGACCATTCTGGGAATGCTGAATTTGGAAAAGGCATTAAACACTATATTTCTTGTACATACTTGTTTTGAATATATCTTGAGGAGTTTATTGACAGGCGTTCCATCTTCCTCTCCATCAAACTCCAGCCACAGTATATGCGAATCCCCCTCCTCTTCAGGATAGGTGTGGTCCCAGGACAGTTCACTAAACCTCAGACCCAGAAGTACATGCTGGAAAAAGGACAACAAGTATTACATGTATTCATCTATTTAAGTTGATAAGACGTTGATAAGAATAACCATAATGTGCACCTTTTCTTTTACATCCATAACATACACTCCTTCAAGACAGATTCCAACATTAACCGCTTTCCTTCGTCCTCTTTGCAGGATCCCCTGAGCAGGTTTGTCAATTTCCCCATCAAAGAAGCCACATCTGTTTATTTTTTCAATAATAGAATAAATACATATTAGGGGGCGCTTAAATGGGCTAAAAATATGTTATGTACCCATAATAAGGCAGAGAGTGGCAGGTGTTCAGATACTGGTGTAAGAGCGGTGTGCACCCAGAGGAACTCCCCGCTGATATGTCGATCTTTCTGTATTCTTCTAAAAGGTTCTGCTCCAGACCTGCCTGGCGACTCGACTTTCCTCTCAGGGTCGAGAATAGTCCTCCACTTCCCAAAGCGACGTGAGGGGGCAGGAAGGATGACAACTTCTTTTCTCTAGGTAGTACACAATAACCAAAATCCTCATTATAACCAAATAATGATAGCCTTTGGGACAATTTCTAATACAAACTGGCACCCAGGCTGTCCAATCTCTGCCCCCTCTTCACCCCCACTTTCTCCCATCTGCTAAAACTGCCAACTCATCTTGCATTGCAGCTAACAATCTACAACTTTGTTCTTACCATTTGTAATAAGAAATAACAACATCCTTAAATATGGTCATACAATCCAAAAGCGATTTAAACATGGCAGTTAAGGGAAGAAGTTTTTATATTCAAGATTCTTACCTAATTACAGACGTTAGCTTTTGGCTCTCTATACCAATCCCTTCTTCTATAGCCAGGCTCAAAGCCCCAAGGCTGGTCCAGTGTTCTGGATCGCAAGGATAGCGTCCGGTCAGGATGTTGTTTTTGGCTTCTTCATACAAAAGCCTTAGAACAGCTTCATCTTCAATCTGATTAGAAAATCATATATTCATGATTAAATAAGATGAATTACATAATTGTCAAAAACTACAACTGTGAAGAGTTTACCAGGAGTTCTTTTGTTTTGGAATAAAAAACATTTCGACGATACTGAAGAAAAGGCTCATCTGAGGAAAAGTCCAAAAGAACATTTAAGATACAGTTTACAATATGTAAAATGTAACAACAGTGGTTTTACTGTTTGAACATCTGACAATACTATCTCACCACACTGACCTTGTGATATGTCCTCCTCTGAGGCCTCTGTGAAGCGATACAACAGGTCGTGCCATTGTCTGCATAATTTATAAGCCTGGTGTCTTGGTTTTAACTGCAATTCTGCACAAAACACCAATGAAATCTATGGAGTTCTATTAAGTTTTATTGAGTTGTAATGTCAAAAGTGTTGCTCACCAAGTAATGGAGAACACAGCCAAAAGGCAAAAACATCCTGTATGGAATCAGGAAAAGTCAAAGCTTCACGCACACTGCGGCCCAACTCTTGAACAGTAACACTCCCCAGTCCTTCCACTGTTAAATGCACTGCACTCTCTCCAAACAGATATACAAGCACATCTTGGGCTGAGAAACATAAAGAAGGTGTAAATAAATACCATATGGTGAGCTTGATGACATTCATGGTTATTTACACATGAATATATATGCTTAATTTGAGTGATAACTGGCTTTACCACGGGAAAGTGTTGCAGATGAGGCGACGCTTCCTCGTTGAGAAAGACTATCTGAGGAATCTGCTGGAAAATTGACCTCATCTCCTTCCATTCCTTGTGTCCAATGCAGAAGATAACATCAGAACAGTTTTGTCACAGTTATCTTACATAACATTAGTAAGTAAGTAACTCAAGCTCATCCTCCTACTCATATTATTGTCAGGATGTTTCTCTACATCAGCGCCACCCTGTGGTCATAATAACAACATGCCCGAAACATTTCCAAATCCTGACCTCACCCTCAAAATACAAGTAATGCTGAGTTTCCCCAGCTCCCATCATAACTATACATTTTCATTTCGTTTGATACAATGTGCGTGTTACGAGTTCATACTTTGACTGTGATGATAAACATGTGAGGCCTAGCATAGCATGAGCTAACCAACAAGCAAGTTTGGTTTTGGAACTCCAAAACAACAAACAATGATATAACAGCTTATAAGTTAGACCAGCTCCGGTGTTGAACATCAGTATGGTATATAACATTTCTACAAGTAATTACTTAGGAGTACAATGCTATTAACATTTATAGCTAAATAACATACCTTGCTTTGCTAGTACACCTCCCCTTTTTATTTATATTGACAATCGCTGCATAAGCCCATGTTATGGCTAACGTTAAATGCTACGTTATGAGAAATACCTGAGCTACATACCTTAAAATGTAATCTTTAGTTAGATACAGGTCATGTACTCGGGTCCTCCAGACTGATGCTAGCTCAGACAGAAGCTAATGTTGGTGTCAGAGCTGTGGCTGCTGTAGCTGCGGTGCTGCTGGGCGTGAGCTCTGCTGTGATCCACCCACAGACTGTATGATCCACCCACAGACTGTATGATCCACTCATAGACTGTATGATCCACCCACAGACTGTATGATCCACCCACAGACTGTATGATCCACCCACAGACTGTATGATCCACTCATAGACTGTATGATCCACCCACAGACTGTATGATCCACTCACAGACTGTATGATCCACTCATAGACTGTATGATCCACCCACAGACTGTATGATCCACTCATAGACTGTATGATCCACCCACAGACTGTATGATCCACCCACAGACTGTATGATCCACTCATAGACTGTATGATCCACCCACAGACTGTATGATCCACTCATAGACTGTATGATCCACCCACAGACTGTATGATCCACTCATAGACTGTATGATCCACCCATAGACTGTATGATCCACTCATAGACTGCATGATCCACCCATAGACTGTATGATCCACCCACAGACTGTATGATCCACCCACAGACTGTATGATCCACCCATAGACTGTATGATCCACCCACAGACTGTATGATCCACCCACAGACTCTATGATCCACTCATAGACTGTATGATCCACCCACAGACTCTATGATCCACCCATAGACTGTATGATCCACTCATAGACTGTATGATCCACCCATAGACTGTATGATCCACTCATAGACTGTATGATCCACCCACAGACTGTATGATCCACCCATAGACTGTATGATCCACCCACAGACTGTATGATCCACCCACAGACTCTATGATCCACTCATAGACTGTATGATCCACCCACAGACTCTATGATCCACTCATAGACTGTATGATCCACCCATAGACTGTATGATCCACCCACAGACTGTATGATCCACCCAAGACTGTATGATCCACCCATAGACTGTATGATCCACCCACAGACTGTATGATCCACCCACAGACTGTATGATCCACCCACAGACTGTATGATCCACCCACAGACTGTATGATCCACCCACAGACTCTATGATCCACTCATAGACTGTATGATCCACTCATAGACTGCATGATCCACCCATAGACTGTATGATCCACTCATAGACTGTATGATCCACCCATAGACTGTATGATCCACTCATAGACTGTATGATCCACCCATAGACTGTATGATCCACTCATAGACTGTATGATCCACTCATAGACTGTATGATCCACTCATAGACTGTATGATCCACTCATAGACTGTATGATCCACTCATAGACTGTATGATCCACTCATAGACTGTATGATCCACCCATAGACTGTATGATCCACCCATAGACTGTATGATCCACTCATAGACTGTATGATCCACCCATAGACTGTATGATCCACCCATAGACTGTATGATCCACTCATAGACTGTATGATCCACTCATAGACTGTATGATCCACTCATAGACTGTATGATCCACCCATAGACTGTATGATCCACTCATAGACTGTATGATCCACTCATAGACTGTATGATCCACTCATAGACTGTATGATCCACTCATAGACTGTATGATCCACCCATAGACATCACTTTTCTATATTTCAGCCATAGATTGTTTGTATATTTACTTCTAGTAGAAAATATGATGTGTAATTTGAGTTTTTGTACAATAGAGTCAGGACACATTCACACATGAACAAAGTGCTGTCTGAAAAGCTGATGGAACACAAGAGTGTTGTCAAAAATATCAAAAGCGGATGTTAATCAGAAGGTGATATAGAGATCTGATACAGATAACTAAATCAGAAGGACCCATAAACCCATAAAGTAGACCTTGTTAACAAAGTTTAATTGTCCAAAAAGAGATTCTAAATATAAATATTTAGAAAGTACCACTGGTATTGAGTTTTTTCAGTCTCAAATACAGTACTCTAGTTTGAGTCACTAGAGTCATAGCAGCAACAGATGTCCTAGGATGTATTATGTCTTTTTGTGTTAAAAAGTCAAATAGTTTTTGTTATCATTTGGTTTTCCTGAAAATGGCAAATACATTAATCTGAATCTGATAGGATAAGGGTTAAATTAATCATAATATATGTGTGATTTAACTTTTAATATTGTGGACAAATTCACTGTACCTTCTTCAATGTATGTGGATTATTTGATTTCTCACACTAGAGAATATGCACACTGTTGAATATTTCTATTATTTATTTACTAATACATAGTTCGAGTGGGCCTTGTCACTGTTGAGAGTTTGCAAGACCAGCAAGTTCTAAAAAGGGAATTAACAGCTTTAACAAAGGTGTCAAATTAAAGGACACTGAGATTACCTGTAACACTGAGCATCATAATCCTAATCCACCTGAATGACAATTAACAGAGGTAGGTGTTAGACAACACAGTCAGCTCTGAGAATGTTTATTGTTATCAACAGCATACAGATGGGCAATGAGTGCCTCCTAACAAAATCAGTTTTTCTTTCACACCACATGGATTGCATTTCCTTTCAAGATTTGATGGAAAGATGTGTAAACAATACTTTATAGGCAGAGTAGCTCCAAAGCATAATTTATAGTTTGTTAGATTTACAGAAAATAAAGAAAAAACATTGACATAATAGGCTAAACATATTTACATTTGTTGGAGATATAATAAGTAAAAAATATATAATATATTTTATACATTATGACTAGAAGAGTTATCCACTGAATATTCGTTGGTCCGTTTTGGGTAAAGTATGCTATTTAAAATTGTAGTTTTCTGTTGGAATGCTCATATTTGTTGCGTTGGTTGTGTGTTCAGGCGTTGGCCGGACCTGCTGTCTCATCGCCCTCTTGAACCTGGTTCTTAAGCAGGAGGAACTTCAACACTGGGTCTAAATACTCCAGCACAGTATCCTTCACGCCTTTCTCCAGCAGGTAACCCTCCGTCTCAATCTCTGTGTTCTCGTTTCCTGCCACTGCTTCCATAGAAGTCTGCAAGAAACGTAAACTCACCAAAACAGACGCCTGAAAAACAATATACAGTTAGATTCAATACGAGAAGCAGCGATTATGTTTTGATTTTGTACCTGTAGGAGGAAAACGGACAGCACACCACCACCAATGGTGTTCATCAGGCCCATGTAGTATTCGAGCAAAGCCTCTCTGCAGCCGCCTGTGTGGATGTTGAGCTCCTCCGTCTCGTAGTCGTAGTTATAGTGGGCAGAATTGTTCATTAGTTGATACTGGATGCATGGCCTTGGAGAACTGGGGTTACAGCAACTGAATGGGACTCCATCTACCAAGTACCGGCCATCCACATTGCTCTTGATTCGGCTAAGGTGAACAAACAAGAAATTAGTGAAAATGGCAAAGGAAATCAGAGAGAGAACTGGCAAAGCTATTTTAGGAGCTTACTCTTTGACTTCTTTTGAGCTCAAATCCAGGTAGCGGTTGCTGATCCATTGCACTTCGAACCAGTCCCTGAAGTCATTGTTTCCACAACACTGGAACTCCATCTGTAGTCGGTCGATGTTCTGCTTTTGAAAGCAGCGCCCTGGGGTGTCTGTGTCTTTGTAAAAGCGAATGCCGTTTCTCAGGCCCACCTTTAGTGAGGACTCCAGGCTGCCCTTCATGGCGTAGCTCATAATAACAGCAAGGAGCATGAGGACAGTGAAGAAGCTGGAGATTGCAAAGTAGGGCTTCAACACGCTCTTCCAGCGAGGAAATCTGCCGGCGTCCAACGCATCTTGGCCAATCTTTCCCGCAAAGTAATTGATTCCCAGAGACGCCAGACCGACGATCATGAGAGTGTTGGGTACAATATGTATGTCGGTGTTGTCCATTACCTAAAATAATCACAACTGTTCTTCACAACTGTAGTGTGCACAGGGTTTTTACTAAGCTGTAATGGTATCTAGTGAGCAAATAGCAATGAATCAAGAATGGAATATGGATTTTTCATTTATGAATTTTGACAGCCCTATTATAAACTGTATTGTTCAAAATGTAGCCTACTTTCAAATTTTCAGATTGCACTAAACTTGCACAATGCATGAATGAATAACCACATACTGTAGATAATAGGTTCAAGATCTTGACAAAGACTTATATTACAGTATACTCTTTCTTTTTATACTTTATTATAATACATAGGGAAGCAGTGTGATTGAACACAAGCAGTGTGAACAAGGTTAAACCAGTGTTTAGTGAATAATATAAATAATATCTATATTTCCCAAATGGACATTTCAATAAACACAGAGTCAAGTCTATATTTCTTCCTTTGTCTTATGAACAGCTTACAGCAAAGATTTAGATTAAGCCTGATTATGAATGCCAATCCAAACTGGGTCACATGAATAATTCCTTGTCAAGGGCAAATCAAATTTCCTTAAAACTATCACCAGAAACAAAATATTGATGTCTTATCAAATAATCTATCATATTCCTATTCAATCATCAGTAGACACCCATTTATTACCACCATTGTTCAATTACATTTAGCCTAACCCTAACCCTTTATCTTTCAAAATGTTGCATCTTACACAACTGTATATTATGTATGTACTTCCTGTTATCTAAGGTATTCTATATTGCCAATTAAGAAATGTACAGTTGCGAGCGTGCTGGTACCTCTCCCCTCCGGCGTAGTTCCGTTTTGAGGATGCAGCCGAGGGTGAAGGTCATGGCTCCGGCCACTGTGGCGCACCACGACAGCAGCCACAGTCCCTGGGCCAGCTTCACCCTTTTCTCAAACGGGAACTTCATCTTCATCACCACCATGATTGCTGAAGTCAGGGAGTCCGAGTCTCAGGGGAAAAGGGGAAGGAGAGCAACAACATACGAGGGGGCAGCCTAAGCACTTGTCTGAAAATATGGGGACAAAATAAGAATCAGAATAATTTGTACTGTCATTGTGAGTAACAAGAAGTCACAAACTAGAAATATGCGTAGGCTCTCTACAATAAACTACAATTAATATCATGTAACTTGACATTAAAGTAATTCAAACGTGAAACTATCCATCTACCCAGTTCTCTCAAGACTGCTCTCAAAACAATTATATTACTTGTTTTCACCATGCATCTCTTTTTAGCCCTTGTCACATCTTCAGATCAGATTTTTGGACAGAAAAGTTAACAGACAGGACTACCTCATGCCGATCATCTCTCAGTCCAAAGCGTGTGACTCACAGGGCTCTTTGTTACAAGTATGAACAATATAACATGAAAACATTAACACACTTTTACATTGACAAGACTCTTCCTGTTGGGACAAACAAAATGCATTATTATATATCTATTTATTCTAAAGTTAGGTACACCAGTTTTAAAAAGACCAAGGCACAATAAAATGGTTTAGCTTGAAATACACTTGAAACAAAACACATCAACTACAATGCAAGAAATAAGCAATACCTGTGTTTTACTAGTGCTACAACAACAATTACCTTAATTATTTCCCCAAAACGCTGAAAAAAGATGTGTTATTCCCAGCAACCACTGTACACCGTCCAGTGGGCCGTACAGTGGATTTGGTGAACTTGGCTGGGGTGAGCATCTTACAGATAATGCCTTCCTATCCTATTAAACAGGTCTGATCATTCAAGGCCAATGTGTGCTTAGCAGCCATCACTCCCTCATGCACGCGACACAGGGAAGACCTAATTAAACCCGACGGGCACAGGCAGGTTTCGACAGGGAAAATGTATACTTTTCATATAAGTCAATCTCTGTTTGTGATAATGAATCTGCAGCTGTACAATTTTCACAAGATTTTACTTTGATAAGAAAGACAAACGTGATAAATGATGAATCCTTTATTAGTTAATTACTGTGACAAAAATATCTACATTTCAATTTAATTCTATTCCCAAATGTATAATGTAACAGGGGAGAAACATACTGTAGTTTACTGCAAAATAACGATTATATATTTATGTATGCATACATAGTTATTACTTATCATTTCCTTTATATTTTACAATAAAGAAAGTACAGGTACATCAAAAGATAAATACACTAGTTATTTGTATAATAAGGGTAAAGATACTGTCTAAAACACGATGGCGAGCACTAATGCTTCACAGCAAGAAGGTTTTGATCATGCTTCGTCCTGGGCCTAAGTAAGTAGTAGTAATGTTTATTTATATAGCGCATTTTACAGACCAAGGTCACCCAAAGCGGTCATCATGGTGATGACAGAAGCGGGTCGCCGAACACACTGGCGCATCAGCCCCCAATCAACACCATCCATTCACTCTCTCATTTACATTCACACCTATTGTGCATGTTTTTAGTAGTAGGGGAAACCGGAGCACCCGGAGGAAACCTACGCAGACATGGGGAGAACATGCAAACTCCACTCGGAAAGGCCCTGTTCCGACTGGGATTTGAACCCAGGACCTTCTTGCTGAGAAGCGAGAGTGCTATCCACTCAGCCACCGTGCCGCCCTTGCACCATAGGTTAACTCGTCCATATACGGCCCTGACCAAGCTGACATCATCTGAACATGGGTCCCTGGGCCTGGGTGCTACACATAGAAGATGGGTCAAATACAGAGGACAAACTTCCCTACAGGGAGATCAAAGTATGCCTTAAACTGAACAGATTATATCTCTGTTTGACAGCTTTTATCATAGATAATTCCATTCACTGTGGACCGCTTGGATGAATGTTAGGGGTAAATTTAACAAGGATGTGTGAAAAAGAGATTAGCATTCATTAATTTGACTTCATCAAGCACATGTTCTATAGAACTAAACCACAAAAATGGCAAACAGTATTATACTTTGCACCCGTAAGTATGCCCCTTAGAGCTTTGTACGCTCTCCTTTGAGTAACTCATCTGGAATTGCCTGTGACCAGCCGTGCACCTCTGCTTCAGTTTGCTGTGTTTCAGATATGAGGTGGTTCAGGATGCGTTCAGCTGACTGCAAATTGGACATGGCAGCATCCATTTCAGAAACACCGCAATCTCTGCGTAGCGCAGTTTCCCTGCTGCTTTTCAGGTGATGGATGAACTCATTATCTAAGTCGTGTCCAGCTCCTGCCCCTGAGTGGTGCAGGTCCATCATGGCCTCTGTGCCTCGGAGCTCTTTGGCTATTGTGCGACGAGGCAATGGAATCTCCTCTAAGCTTGCTGACCGGACAAGAACAGCAGAGCCGAGACTTGGATTTGTGGTGATCTTGTAAGAACTCTGACATGTCACAATGTCAGAGAGAGTTTGTGTGAGTGGCAGAGCGTCGTTATGAACAGTAAACTGCAATTGGGGTACAGTTGGGGGCCGTGATGAATGTGCTTGAAATATTTTTTCCCTTCCTAACCCATTGACTTGATCTTCATCACCCTCACTGCGTCTCCATGCCTGGCCTCGATTCAGTCCCATTAGTACAAATCTGGGTGTTTCCTCGCCAATCTCTGACCAATCAGATTCTTCCTCCTCGGGGACTGACCCCAGACACTGCTCTTGTCCTGCTTCGATGTCTATATTGTCGTTCATACTGTCCATGAACTGAGCTGGAGGAGGGGCAATGGGGGAATCAGTTGGATCAACATCTGATTGGATCTGATGTTGTCTTGCCTAAAAAAGAACAAATAAATGAATAATAAAACTTGGGCACATATCTGATCTGATACCAGTGATGAAGGATCCTACTTTGCCAGTGTCCATATTGTTGACAAACTTTGCATCAGCCAATCTTTCTGTTAAAGCTGAAATACGCGTGTTCAGCCTTTTGCGTTCTCCTTCCATATTCTGGCTCTGTTTGAAAACAAGCTTTAAGTTCAAACCACCACTTTTTGCAATGAAGTATATAAATGTGTGTTCTTTTTTGTTACCACCAAATGAAGTTTATGCTCCAGAAAACTATTAGTTTGTTGGGTCGAAGAGCAGTTGTCATGTAATCTATTGAAATTAATTTAAAGGGTTTATTTCAATGTCATACTGACAAAAACAGGTTGACAATATATAAATTACCTTTTAAATCTCTCAGTGAGATTACTGAGCTCCATGCGGGTTTTCTGAAGCTCTTCCTCTAAACAGTGGCGACTGCTCATGAACTCTTCACCCAGACACTCTACTCTCACTGCTGTCTTCAACAGACTTTGCTGCAATCCCTCATTCTGTTCTTGTAGTATTCTATAGAATAACAGGAAAACATGGTTTTTAAAAGGGCCCTTGTCAATTTCCAAATAATTGGTAATTTAGACTAAACAGTTTTAACTCCAACTCACATAATGCGACCCATTCCATCTGCTGTTTCCTGTGGTGAAAAAGTTTTTAAAAGTGAAACATGTTATTAAAATGTAAAACATGTAACATATCTGTAACTAATGATTCACATATGATTAGTTACAAAAATATGGAGCAGCCATTAAAACCAGCATGCTCTCTGCATCATGCGCTCTGAATTTTATCTATTCTACGGTGTCAATAGATAAAAATACTTTATTGATCCCCAATGGAAAGTTAAAAGAATTAATTAACCTTTAATTAAGTTTGCATGCATTATCGACTAGAACCAGACTTCTGGATGAACCACAAATTAACTTGTTATGTCATACGTTATGTAAAGGGTTACTGAAGCTGGTCTGCTCCTCCTCCTGACTGGACGCACTGACAGGTCTGAGGGTGTCTGGCGACTTCACTGGGTTTCCATGGTGAGAGGTAATCAGACCCAGGTTGTTTTGGGACTGGACCTGGTCTGAATCATAACGGTCATCAAGGTTTGAGTGGCTCGTCTGTGAAGGATGGTCTTCATGGTGATGATGGGGTTCTCTGTCATGGTCCCCATGGTGATGATGGGGTTCTCTGGCATGGTCCCCATGGTAGTGATGGGGTTCTCTGTCAGGGCCTCCATGGTGATGAGGTTCTCTTTCGGGGTTTCCATGGTGATGATGGGGTTCTCTGTTGTGGTCTCCATGGTGATGATGAGGTTCTCTGTTGGGGTCTCCATGGTGATGATGGGGTTCTTTTTTGTGGTCTCCATGGTGATAATGGGGTGCTCTGTTGTGGTCTCCATGGCGATGATGGGATTCTCTGTTACGGTCTCCATGGTGTTGATGGAGTCGTTTTTCATGGTCTCTATGGTTATGATGATTCTGTGGCTCAATGTGCCGATCTCCATGGAGGTGATGGAGTTCGCCATCATTGTCTCCATGGTGATGATGGGGTTCTCTGTTTTTGTCTCCATGGTGATGATGGGAGTTTTTGTTTTGGTCTCCATGATGATGATTGGAGTCTCTGTTTTGGTCTCCATGGTGATGACGGAGCTCTCTGTTGTGGTCTCCATGTTGATGATTATGCTCTCTATTGTGGTCTCTGTGGTGACCATGGAGGTCTTTGTTCTGGTCTCCATAGTGATCTCTTTGATTGTTGTGGGCCTCACTATGAAGGCATCTGTGGTGATGCCCCTCACTGTGACTGTCTCCATGGTGATGGGGATCACTGTAACGGTCTCCACGCTGGTGATGGTCTCCATGATGATGATGGGACTCATGGTGGTCCTTATTGCCATGGTGATGAGCAGACTCATATTGATGGTAATGATGCTGAATGTGATTGGATCCATGCTGTTTCTTCCTCAGATGGTTGTGTTCATTCTGGTGGCGATGTGGTCGCTGTGGCTGATGGGAGTGATGGTGCTCTTCAAAGTGAAGCTCCTCTTGGTAAGAGTCTGGGCTGTGACAATCTTTATCTTTACATTTTTCCCCTTGGCTGTTGTGTCGAGCCTCACTGTGGTGTCTGTGGTGAGTAGGTGACATCGAACGTCTTGTCTCTGTATAGTCACCGTGACATGACTTCTGGTTGTGCTCACAGTCTTTATAACAATGACTTGTGTTTGGTTGATGTTCAGAATTGTACCGGTGATGATGCTTTGTTTTGTGCCGACTAGTTCTTGTGTCGTAAGTGGGACCGTGGTTGTGTCTATAGTTATGGTAATCTTTCTCATTGCCTGAATTTCTGTACTGGTGATGATGATGGTAATAACGGTGATGTTTGTCTGATGGTGAGCGGGAGCGATGCCATGAATGATGCCTCTTGAAGCTGCTCCTCTTGCGATCTGGTGAGCCTTCTGACCGGTGACTATAGTGCCTTTGGTGAGAGTGTGAATGCTTAGTGCTGCTGTGAGAGTGTTTTCCGGAGCTTGTTGAATCTGCACTGCCTTGCAAGTGTCTTTGCTGTTCTGTTTGTTTCATCTTTGTATTTTCTAGCTTTGTAGACTGAACTGGACTCCGGGGTCTATGTGGGTTGGCCACTCCTAGGCTGGTGAGTCTCATTGGACTAAGCACTTGCCGAGTTATCTCATTAAGAAAGGCGGAGAATTTAATTTTTTCCTTCACTATATTTTTTCTGGCTTCATTTGACCTCTTCTCTTGTTCCGCATCATCTTGTGGTTCCTTTTCCTGTGTTCTAGCAAGAGACTCCATTGATTTAGCTTTGCGGACATTTCCATCTCGAGAAATTTTACATTTGCCTTGGGATGAACCATGCTTGGGAACTGAGTCCTGTTTTTGGTTTCTCTCCACATGTTCCCCCTTTGCCAACAGCGGTGCAGTGTCATCACATTCATCAAAATATCTCTCTTTCTTGGGGATATCTGTGCATGAGCGGTAATGCCGAGGTTCGACCCGTGGACTGGAACTATCGCTGTCGGTGTCAGATGAAGAACTGGGGGAGGAAGTGGATGATGTGGACGAGGTAGAGGGTGATGATGTTGAGACGGAAGAAGACGACACAGAGGAAGTGGATGAAGATGAGGTTATGGAGGTACTTGAGGTGGAAAAACTGCGATGGCTTTGTCTGTCAAAACGAGAGCGGTGATGCCGGCGGTCACGAGGAGGATCATTAAAAACACAGTCTTCTTCGGTTGAATGAGTGCTGTGCGAAAATCAAACAGAACACATGTCAAAGCATAGGCTCTACATTTGTAACAGACACTGGATATGAAAAATACTCACTCATGACTCTCATTATCAGAGTGTTTGTGGAAATGGTTTTGATTGTGATTCTTCGTATGTGGAGACTTTTCTATCGCCTGACCTTTCATCTTTTTGTGTTTGCTGTTGTTTGCTTTAGAATGTTTCTCCATCTTACTGGTCATATAGATCCCACTATGTACTATAAAAAGTAATCAAGAAAGATATACTTAGAAGGGAATACATTGCACAATAAAAACAATTAAAATTAAGAACTGAAGTACTTACATTAAAAAGCTGTCACTGTTGAGGTAAAGCTGTTATTCGTAATTATGTTGGAGACACTTCTGGTTCTTTGTCGCTCGTCCTCCTTTTAAACCACGCTGGGAAACCACCAATGAAACACACGCTATTGATATCTGCTCAATCGATCATCCAATGTCAAAGGTGGCAGACTGAAACTGTACTCGGTGGGTTTATTTGTACTTTTACAATTGACTTTATATAAACAAGAATACCCCACACTATATTTATATACAATTTTCTTAGTTTAATAGGAAAATTAAGCATGTGTGCATATGAAGGCAAACAGTACATTGAGAGAAAAACAAATCAAAATCATCATTGTGCCTGAGGTTGTAACTCATCTTTTTCTGACAAATTTGAATTTCATTTCTAAAATCCACGGAATAAAGCTATTTTACTGCTCTGTGCGTGTGTAGTATTTGCCTCTGCCCTGAAGTGGGGAAATGATGAACAGCACTTCTGTTAACTACATCATTATTGACTGCAGTGGCCCTATTATGTCAGAGCAATGGTCATGCTAATAAGTCACAGGCAGTGGGCACACGACTAACAATTTAGCAAAAACAATTATAATTTTGCTATTATTTTAACTATTATTCAAACTGCATTTCAAATATTATTTCTGCTAAATGTTATTACCATTGTTGAGTAACAGGCGGATATATTTCCTTTATTTTATTCCCTTTGCTGTGTGATTGTTGCCTCAGGCAGCTTTCCCCACATCAATATGAAACTCAAACATCCAAAGTCATCTGTAACTGCTTTGGCAAGTTCAGTGGAAACGTAGACAACGGCCCTTTACGTATTGCAGTATGTCCATGAGTTTGGCCAAGATCAATTGTATTACATTGATTTTGGAGACTGTATCCCGTTAGATCCCCCTCCTAAAATTATAACCAACTGGTTAAGTTCTTAAAAAATGTAAACAGAATCTGTAATAATTTCTTTTCAGAAAATATAATTATAAACACAAAAGATCACAGCATCACGTATTACAAATATCAGTATTTGCAATTTAATATACAGTTAGTAGTGGAAATGCATCAGAAAAATACATTACATTTGTAGCTCATTTAAAACAAATCACTCTTTCCATAACTTTAGTTTGTACATCTGGATCAGCCCCAAAAGGCACACTGCTGTGTGTAACCCACAAGATAATACATATCACTGTAACTTTTCCAAGAAACAAGTTGTTTCAAATGTGATGGTTCCACCATTGCGTTTGCTCAGACTGAAAAAAATAACATAAATACCCACCACTAAATTTGAACGTCTAATCCAAGTAAAAAGAAAAGTCCTCCAGCTTTGTTATAACACAGGCAGCACAAACTGGAGAGGTCCCAAATCTCTTTCCATTCAAGATGATTAATCAGCTCCTGCTGTTGGACCAATTATGTTTGAAGTCACACTGGGGCTCAGCACACAACAGGTTGTGTACAGACAAGCTCTCAATATTTCCCCACACGGATGTGGGGGTTAAGAAGAGGGTCTAAATTTGGATCTGAACCAGCCGAGGCCCGTCCGAGTTTAGCCATGATGATGATCAAAGTAAAAAATCCCAGAACTCCAACCAAAAGAAACATGAACATGCGCTGCTTCCATGTCAGGGTTGTACGTTTCCCTCCAGTTCGATTCCTAAGGGAGAAAGTACAAACGATTTATGATGTATGAAACTGTTGATAGACCTGGTGACCTTTCATATCCATTACTAACTTGAGAACTTGTGCAAACCAGCTCAGAGCTGGTCTTCGTCTGTACTTGTCATCGTCAAAGTCAATCTGTGTGACAGAGCTTTGTCCTGTGTCCCGCGTGTCATAGATCTTTCTCGGTGATGAAGCTAAAACAATATAAAAACCATTGATATTGATGGTGTGACAGCATCATGTCAAGGTGAAGGGAGCTTTAAACATTACCTGCATGTATTGTGACGGAGTCACTAATGTTGTCTGTGTTCAAGCTTATTACAGCATGTTGTTGAATGGTTTGTTCAGCACTTTTTATGGTCTCTCCAACTTCCTCCTGCACTATGCCCGAAACAGCATTTGTTTGAGGACTAACACCAGTGGTGTAGGAATGACTTGGATACGCTTCAGTTTGTTCCCGGGCTGTGATACATGCGCAAAACAGAGACCTTTGGTTGAAAATGCAAAAACAAGAATTATGGAGTCAAACTAAATTCACCATCAAATGTTGACCAGTCATTGTAGTCTGTTACATCAGAAGCTTTGGTTTCTTCCAGATCAACAAGGGGCTCTTCAATCTGTCAAAATACAGTTGGCTTAATATTTAATGTCCATGGTAATATTGTGTTTATTCTGAAAGTGACACATCACCATAATGATTCCATGAAAACAGAAACTTTAAAAAATATATTCTTTGAGATTGATACATACGATATTCTATGGCAATATATGCCATAATAATAATAGTAAAAATAGTATAATAGAATTTTATGTTATGCCATAATGTGGAAGATTATATCCAATGAAACAACATTTCCAGTTGGAGGCCTACTCACAGTAAGGATGTGCGATTTTGAGAGAAAAAACAACAACATTCAAAACAGATAATAAGTCTTACCAGAGGGAGACCTAAACCTGCTCTTGCCCAATTTACAGATGACAGCTGTTCTTTCAGCACATCTGCGATGGGACTGGCCAGATTAGATGGAGGAAATATTGCACTTTGACAGGTGGGACACTGGTATCCTGCTGGAGCTGTGTGTTGAGGCAATTGGGAGGCCAAATTATTGAGACATGCCCAATGGAAAACATCTGTGAAAGGGAAAACATATCTTATATAAAACAATAGTATAAACAACTGGACTTCTACATGTAACTAAAACTGTAGAATCAAGTTGATAGGGAATTAATTGAAAAAGCCTGACTCTTCACTCACCATAACAAACCAATCTGACTGTGTCTTGATCTGCCAGTGGAGTGTTGCAAAGAGAACAATTTGGATTGTAGTCGCTGTCCTGAAGCCATTGCAGATATGATTGGACTATACACTATAGAAAATGTATATGTTCAGGATATTTCCATACATTTAGTTTGTTAAAAAACCTTTACAAACATCACATTTTACTGACCTTGGTGTGGTTAGAGACCAGGCAATGCTCACATACATTTACCCGATGCTCAAAGCAAAATAAATTGGTCACTTTCCTCTTTGGACACTTGCAGAGCCCCATGGTGACTTAAGCTGCGAAAAAAGATTGGTGTAATGGTATAATAATAATGTCTTTGTCTTGTGATCAGGTAGAATATAGATGACGCACAATGACAACAGCGTGTCATGTAACTTCTGAAAATGTCAGTAAATGTCAGCAGGCTATACACGTTCTCTATTTTATAAATGTGTATTGGTCCTGTCAGTACCAGGACCAGGACCAATACACAATATGTGCTTTATTTTGTTCATTCCACTGTAGCTAGCTAGTTACTGTTGCAATGACATGCAAGCAAGTATAAACATGAAGATACAATACCTCTATCGTGTCAACAAGACTTCAGGCGAGACCACTTCGCCCCAGAGGAGTATCCACCAGTGTCATTTGTGATTTGTGTGTTATTAAAAAGCTGATCAAGTGTGAAACCTGTTAGTGACAGTGAATGCAGCTCTGGTTACTAGCCGCCCCTCAGCTCTGTTTGTGTGCCACGTCTCTTCCGCAAAGGCACTTCCGCTTTCCTCGTGCACACAAACAATAGGGCCCTCTAGCGGTTAATTTGTCAAGGCACCTAAACTTTGCGATTATTTTTGTTACTATAATATACATTGTATGAAATAACATTAAAATATAAGCGGTGGTGTGACTTCATTAATTGTGCATGCACAGAGGAATATTAGACTGTAAGTGATTGTAGTAATGCAATACACTGTTCTGGCCAGCAGATGTCGCTCAAAACCAGATATAAAGCTGCCCTGAAGTCGCCTGGAGAAAAAAAAGTGCGCTACCCACCCCAAAAGTAAAGGCTTCATTATTTCTTTATTGTATAAATGAACCTTTACACAGTACTGTCATCCTTGGAAAATATGTTTTTTGTCTTACAAGTTTCTTAGAAAAATAATTTGAATATGCATATTAGCTCAACACGAGGCCATTTGTGATGTATTCATCTGCATAGTAACATTAATATCAAAAGAAAGTTGTAATACAAAAATATGTTGTATGTAATATGTTTAATGTTTCATCAAACAGTGTTAGGAGTAATAAAAAAAATATATAAAGAGAAGAAGCCTCTAGTGTTTTTGGGCATGTTTGATTGACCATTGACAACGATTGAGATCAGTTCAAAAGATGACAATCTCATTTGCTTTATTTAATTTAATGAAAAAATACTTTAAAGAGATAGCTCCAGGGAAGTTTCATTGTGATTGGAGTAAAGGAGAAAAATAATTGTATTTGTCTGCCCGTATTGGCACACATCTTGAAATAATGAAAATGAAACCTGTTTGTCATATCAGGATTTCTTGGGACATTAGGTTATTCTGGATACCTCGTACAAAAGTTCCATTATGAAGAAAAATACTAAAATACACCAAAGTGCATCAAAGACATGTTAATGCCATATGAACCAACTCTGACTGAGGCGCACAGGAACTGGCCAGAGTCAGGACCGATCATGTGAAGGCAGCATTTCAGATCTATGCAGCTAAAATCTGGAACAGTCATCCTGAAAAATTGAGACAGGCTTTGAGTCTGACAGTGGTCAAATCCAGGTTAAAATAGTTCTGTTTAGCTGTGCGTAGAACTGAAGGATTGTGTCTTCATTTGGAAAACCAGAAACTGCAAATAGTGACCGTGTATTCAACTTGGAAACCATGGAAGCACTGCACAAATCATGGAGGCACTGCAGTGGATTAGAGTCCTGAGTAGAACAAGAAAAAGTGCTGTATAATTACTGTAGGCAGTTAGACTATTACACAATAAAAATAATTATTCAAGTATTCAATAGTTTGCTTCAGTGGACATTGCCATTCCGCTCATACACCATGAGCCATTATACAATACAAAGCCCTTTCTCACCATAAGTGATAATGACATCATTGTGTGCATGTCTGTGCATGCTCATCTATAGTAATGCTGCTCTTTTTTAATGGTCATCTGTGCTTGTGAGGGTAAATGACCATGGATATACAGTTGAAAATGAGGGTACAGATTTTTTCCCTTCACAGTTCATTGCACATATGAATTGGCTGCAGAGGGGAGTAATGGGATCAAAATGAGAAAATAAAGCGCAAAAGCCAGCACTCTAAGAGGTACCAACGAGGAGGGGAAATGTTCTGTATATTGCGATAAAACATTTGACTATCTCTTCTAATAGCACTGAGATGTGAGCCCCTACGTTGCAGGACTGTGGACACAACAGTCATTTCACTTTTACATCACTGGATGAAATATAGAGAAATATAGATTCCGTCTTGTAAAACTAAACAACTCATTCTCAATTCAAGCAGAAGATCTGAATATGTAAAGCAAATTAACTTGTCGTCCTTTAGACACCCGCATACATCACTGTCAGTGTGTTTGAGGACATGAGGAAAGGGCAAAATGCAGCAGAGCTATCAAATGTAGAGACAAATGACGGAGACTGCGGAGGACAAATCAGGCCTGCAGCTCGGAGGGGGAGGCCCATGATTGATTGAGTCTGGCATTATTGATCTGCTATCAGGTCCATGTGTGAGTGAGGCTGTTACAGTCAGGTACTATGGCCCATGTAATGAATCAGAGAGCTGGGTTAAACCGCAGGTGCACACAGAAGGAGCAAACAGTTCCAGGGTAAATGCTGCGCTCACCAGCAGGAGTAACTTGTACAATTACTTTACTTCACCAACTTGACTCCAGATCCTTTCTTGCAACAAGCTGTAGTTAAGATAAGACTTTATTAATCTCACACAGGAGATTAATTTACATGTCACATTGGCAAGGACAGGAACACTCAAGAATTGTGCAAAAGTAAGAAATGTGGAGCATGTTAATGCAGGATATATTATTAGAAATAAGTGTCAATAGTAGTGCAGGTTTATTTTCAGTCATAGTGCAGTGACTCAAAGTGACTTGTTGTACAGTCTGACAGCGGTGGGGATAAAGACCCTGCGGTAGCGCTCCTTCCTACACTGAGGGTGCCTCAGTCTTCCACTGAAGGAGCTCCTCAGCTCCTCTACAGTCCTGTGCAGTGGGTGGTATTGTTCATGATGGAGGTGGCTTTGGCTAGCACCCTCCTGTCCCTCACCTCCTCCACAGAGTCCAGGGCCCAGAGTGGAGCTGGCCCTCCTGACCAGCTTGTTCAGTCTACTCATGTCCCTCTCTGTGCTGCCCGGGCCCAGCAAAATAAAACTCACAAACAAATAATACAAAAATTAATATGACTTTTTTTAATGTCATATTCACAAACAGAAAAACCCAGAATCACTCTCTCGTCAATTCTCAATAAACCTGTGGGAACAAACATGACAGAGGTGAAATAGCGCTTTTCATTGTTGAAACAATGTCATTCAAATGTCTCGGATTACTGTTGTCCAATGACCCTTGGACAGAACATATCTGTTGCTCCTCTTGTTTGTGTGGTCGCTGCAAATGAAGTGGATTCAGATCAGCTCTCATAAGCACATTGGCTCATTTGAAATGTAATTAACACGCAGACACTGGCTATATCAGGACAGTGGCATAGAAATCCATCAAGGCCTTGCTCCCAATGAAATGGAATTGACTGATTGATTTATGTATGGGGAGTGAAGGGCACAGAGAGGGACAAAAGCAGGCGGCAAGGGGAAGAGCAGGTCAGGGGAGGGCTGTGGAAGGTATACGCACTATCGAATCAGACAGAGACAAATGGAGTGTGCGAGACAGGGGGGAAAAATTCAGACAAATTCATACTGACCTCAGCCTTTTTTTCCAGCTGATCAATAGGAGGAAATCCAGTCGTGTACAGCTAGTGTATGTAGTGGTATGAAGGAGGGACCCATCCGTGCCTCTCACAATAAACATCCAGAACAATAACAGTGCCTGGACTGCAGTCGCTGGCCTTCTAACCTTTGCACAGGCCCCAATTTGATTTTCCAAACGTAATCCTATAAAACATAGATAGGTCCAGAGCACTTAGAGCAGCTGCTGTGTCACTGCAACAAGACTGGAGAAGAGTAAACAACACATTCAAAGCTCAATATAGTTTATGAAAGCGAGACACGGACCTGTTTTGTAAATGTAGATCTGTAATCGATCACCTTTTTCAGGGACGATGTTAGGAAACTAAAGGCAATGTCCACACAGAGACAAAAGAGTGTGGTTTTAAATAATATTGCATAAAGACAGAATAGGTCTGTAAATCCATCCAGTGTCATAATGGCTCTCCCACAATTAGAGAAAATGTTGATTTTGTATTGTTGGCTACATTATTGTAATCATTTATCTATTTACGAAGTTAACATTTATAGAGATCGCTATAGTGCCATCGTTCCATCATTGACCTATTTACTAAATTATATATATTATGGGTCAGTAAGTAATATTCATCTATATAGCGCTCCTTGCAAAGACACTTTACAATTTGGTGTGGGCTATGATTTCCTTCATTAATGCTCTCCACACAGCTGTGGTATAAGCTACTGTAGCCACAGCTGCTATCGGGAAGACTGACAGAAGCAGGTTGGCCACATGGATCCTCCGATCATCACCAAGCAGTCTAATGGGGCAGACTCATTCCAGGTAATGTGAGTGAGGTGTCTTGCCTAAGGACACAATGCAGCCTGTAGTGCCACTGTGGCAGCATTACCACGCCTTGCACTTCTTAGCTTCTGACATCTGATTAATATAAAGACAACTTGATAGACACAACAAAGCCCACATCAAATATGTAACTTTCCGAGTGCTTTGAATTATTCCTGGTCTCTCGGTATCTTCCAAATGTTTCCTGGGTCAATTATGAAGAAGAACCAACAGGGCATTATTCAAATGCCCATCGACCCGATGTTCAATTACCCGACTGCGCTCCACAACAGCTGCCTCCTCTGGAGATGTGAAAACAGACACATGCCTGGTGTCCTTGATGCGAGACCAGGACTCAGGCCAGCAGCCAGAAGAGGGTCAAACTGCCCCATCTGTGGAGGTGCGGAGGCGTACTCTAGAGCTTCACTATAATCATTGAACAACTTGAACAACAGAATATTCATCAACCAATGGGAGTAACTCTT